AAAAAAAAAAAAAAAGATGGTTTTATATTTTTGGAGGCGTCGAGGTGCGTGTGGTGGCTGCCAGCAAGTCCTAACCCGGAGCCCAAGGGGAACAAAGAGTAGCCCTGCACTCCAGGCACAAAGCATGGCCTGGAGGATCTTTCTCTCCCCAGCTTCCCAGAAGGGCCGTGGGTGATGCCGCAGTGTTGTACTATGACAGCAATATATTCAAAGTAATTTTTAAATGGGCTGAGGGGATTAATTATAAAGTCCTAGGCCCCCATCACCCCCTCCTTCCTTCTCTGTTGTGGGTAGTGGGTTTTTTTCCTTCCTTGGGTGTAACGGCCAGGTGCAGTGCCACAGTCACAGGGATCCTGTTCCATCCCGACCAGAGTCTCGGTCTTGAAGGCGATGGGGACGGCTCTTTCCGTTGGAAAAATTTAAAAAAAAAAAAAAGGAAAAGAAAAAAAGGAGACGAGGGTTGCCTGGGTATGAAGCTGAGTGAGCCTTTCTTTGCCAGATGCCAAAGGTTCAATCCGAGAGATTATTCTGCCTAAGGGGCTTGATCTGGACCGTCCCAAGCGGACCCGCACCTCCTTCACGGCCGAGCAACTCTACCGCCTGGAGATGGAGTTTCAGCGCTGCCAGTACGTCGTGGGGCGGGAGCGCACCGAGCTCGCCCGCCAGCTCAATCTCTCCGAGACTCAGGTAACCCCAGAGGGACGGGGAGCCCCCGCTGCCTTGTCCTGCCCTGCCCTGCCCTGCCCTCCACCGCGGTACCCCCCTCCTGGCCCGGGCATCCCCCCGGCCCTGCGCGCCCCAAGGACAGGCCGATCCCGCGGCACAGCCCCCGGGGCTGTCGGGCAGGGCCGCGGGGCCGTGGAGAGGCGAAGCTTCCCCAGAGGTGCCCACGCTTGTCCAGTGGCGGGGGGAGGGCCGCAGTTCCCCGGCGAGAAGGAGCCGGGGGGGTTCGTGGCTGAGGCGAGAGACTTACAACTCTGTGAGGCTGGGGAAGGGCAGCTGCTGGCAAAGGGGGTCCCCGTATCCCCGCACACAGCCCCCCGGGGGCTCTCCCCGTGGGCGAGGCGGCGCGGCTCGAGGGATCTGAGCCACGAAGCCAAACCCCTCCCGGGCCGAACGCGGCTACCCCGCACCTCCGGCCCGCAGGGACCCGTCCCGGCCCCGCGGGGCTCGGTGTCCTCCGGGGCTCGGTGTCCTCCGGGGCTCGGTGTCCTCCCGGCTACGCGGGGCCAGCTGCCCCCGGGTGCGGAGATGAGCTGCTGCGGCCAGGGGGAAGAGAGCAGAGGCCGAGAGGGATACAGCCGCTCAAACCCGGAGGGGCAAGCGGGTTCCTTCTCTCGGGGCTGCAGGGTTAGAGACATTCGGTCTGAGCTTTCCTGGGTACGAGAGATCCGGGGACAGGGCTGAAGTTTGGGCCGTATTTTGAGTTCCCTGTATGTCCGAGGGCCAGAACCGCCCCTCCGACCTCCAGGGCAGAAAGGCCGGGGGAGGCCACGCGGGTTAAAATTATGCGAGAGCACTGGGAAGCATCTAAAAAGTCCAAACTTCTGAAAGCCGGTTTCATATTTCCTCAAAACATCATATAACAATAAATTCCCCTGACACGTTAATTAGCTTTTTTCTTTCCTTGATGGGTAGGAATGACAAGTTCAATAGCTCGTAGGTTACAAAATCTGCCACCGGTGGTTTTTGTTGTGTTTTGGTTTTGGTTTGGGGTTTTTTTGAGTGACTTTCAGGATTTCTTTTTAAAGCTGAACATTATTTAAAATGGGTTGGGAGGAGGAGAGAGAGTGTCCAGGTTGGGATACGAGGGAAGAAGCACGTTGCTGCTGTTTACCCCCATGAAAGGGAGAGCCAGAGCTGAGCGGGCAGCAGCGCGGGGGCAGCGTGCGGGGACCCTGCGAGCAGGGTGAGGGGCCGCGGTGTGCCCAGGGCACTGGCTGAGCCGGCTTAGAATAAAGCCCTGGGGAAAGGTCTGAATACGGCTCTCAGAGAACTGCTGGCCGACAGCTAAAATAGGATAAAGTGAGAGAGGTCCGGTTAAAGATGCAGAGCTAAGGGCTCCCGCATCCCCCTTGGCCCGCCTCGGGGCACTCCGAAACCTGGCACAGACAGGCCATGGGGGTTCTGTGCGTGTCGCTTTGTGCGTTTTGGAAGCGGTCCCCGTTCCCAAGTGTCTGTCGGCCCTCCCGCCCTCCCTCCCCCGCATCCCCCCCGCGCCCCGCGGAGCCGCGCCGGGATCCCGGGGCACCTGGCGGGGGGCGCCGCGCCCGCCGCCCCGCTGACCCTGCCTCTCTCCCCGGCCCGCAGGTCAAGGTCTGGTTCCAGAACCGGCGCACCAAGCAGAAGAAGGACCAGGGCAAGGACTCCGAGCTACGGTCGGTGGTGTCCGAGACCGCCGCCACCTGCAGCGTCCTGCGGCTGCTGGAGCAAGGCCGGCTGCTGTCCCCGCCGGGGCTGCCCGGGCTCCTGCCGCCCTGTGCCAGCGGCGCTCTGGGCTCGGCGCTGCGCGGGCCCGGCCTGGCCGCGGCGGGCAGCGGCTCCTCGGCGGCGGCTCCGGGCGGCGGGGGATCCCCGCACCCCCCCGCGGCCACCGGAGCGCCCGGGCCGCCCCCGCCCGCCGCGCTGCACGGGGCGGCCGCGGCGGGGCACGGGCTGTTCGGGCTGCCGGTGCCCGCGCTGCTGGGCTCGGTGGCCGGCCGCCTCTCCTCCGCGCCCCTGGCCGTGGCCGGCTCGCTGGCGGGCAACTTGCAGGAACTGTCGGCCCGCTACCTGAGTTCGTCCGCCTTCGAGCCCTACTCCCGGACCAACAATAAAGAGAGCGCTGAGAAAAAAGCACTGGACTGACTCTAAGTACCTTCTCCCCCCCCTATTTATATTTATAGTCTCTATTTGTGGCGGTATTTATGGGACGGGCGGCCGGCAGCCGCCCCCCCGCGCTCCCCGCCGCCCCCGAGCCCCTGCGCGGCTCCTGCGCGGGCCGGGGCGGAGCGGGGCCCGGAGCCCGCGGGCCGGGAACGGGAACGGGGCGAGGGGCTTTGGGAGCCTCCCCGGGGCCCGGCGGGAGCGGGGCGGCCCCCGCGCCCCCCCTGCCCCGCGGCCCGTCTGTCCGTCTGTCCGTACGGGAGAGGGGTGTCGGCCCGCTCGTTCGTCTGGGGAAGGGCCGCAGAGGGAGAGCGGCCGCGCTCCCTTCGGTCGCTTTAGCGAGGGAGCAGGATTTCGGAGAGAGGAGGATGGAGCTGCCAGGTGATGCCCGTTTTCGGTTTTTTGCTTTTGGGTTTTTTTGAGGGGTGGTTGTTGGGGGTTTTCTGTTCGTTTTTGGTTTTGGGTTTTTTTTAATTGTTGTTGTGTCTCCCAGACTCAGTGATTTCTAAGCACAAAGGTTTTGGGGCCCCACCTGCGGCCCTCGTTTACCCCCACGCTCGCTGCACTACAGTCCCCTGCTGCCGACCGAGCCCTGAACACCAGTCAGGAAAACCTCCAGCAATTTTTGTTTTTCACGGTAAATCTTGAACGTGGGAAGGGCCGGAACGGACTGAAAAATACAGTCACGAAGCGGGGAGACAGAAACCAGTGGCTGCAGAAATTTTGAATAAAATTGTCTCTTCCTTCGAGATAACACAACTGCCCCTTCTCCCTCCCTTTTTTTTCCTTTTTTTTCCCTTTGAATTCCCACGGGCCAGTCCCGCGGACCTTATCTGCAAAACCAAGTCTGCAGATAAATCATGGAACTCGCAACTCTATTTGTATCTAGATCTGTTGCGATGGTAATTCTTATTTTTATTGCTCTATTTGATTTTTCCGAATAATTTCAATGTGCATCTAAACACAAAAAACCCTGTAGCCTTCCTTGCTCCTAAAATAATATACCCTCTCGTATATTGCTCACACTTCATTTGAAACGAACATAAAATATAAAAAGCGTAACTTTTATTGTTATTTTTGTACTTTAAAACACATCTATGTAACAACCTTTTTTTTTCCTTCATAATTCTTACTGCTATTTTCTCCACGAACATATGTATTTCACCTTCTAGTATTCCGGATCGCATATTTCCTGTTCAATTTTGGTACTTGAATTTGCCAGAAAAGGGATGCTGTACTTAGCTAGTTCTTTGGGGAAAAAATTATTTACTTCGGTTTTAAGTTTCTTTTCTTTCTTTGAACTTTAACCCATGGCGTTTACAAACTGTATAAATACGTGCCACCAAACTGTAACCAAAAAAGAAAAAAAAAATATGAAAAGTGGAATGGTTGCTGTAGAATATAGAATTAACTATAGACCAGAACTGGACAGAAGAAGCTGGATGGAAAGAAAATAGTAATTTTATTGTAAATTATTTACGTCTGAAGTTTCTAGGCAACTAGTCGAAAAAATAATGAATGAATCGAGCGCTGAGCCCTTGCTACTAACTTTTGTTCTGAATGTTTTGGATATTTGGATGTTTTGTATTTATGTGGTGAGAGTGAAATATATTATATCTATATGATGACAGAATTAGGTGTATTTTCGTCTTATATTCATGGCACCCAAATTGCCTTCATTTAATATGTGTGCTGCAAAAAAACCCC